ACACTAGTAGTACCATGTATACACTACACACAGATGAACACCTACACTAGTAGCATCATGTATACACTACACAGATGAACACCTACACTAGCAGTATCATGTATACACTACACACAGATGAACACTTACACTAGCAGTATCATGTATACACTATACACAGATGAACACCTACACTAGCAGTATCATGTATACACTATACAGATGAACACCTACACTAGTAGTATCATGTATACACTACACACAGATGAACACCTACACTAGTAGTATCATATATACACTGCACACAGATGAACACCTACACTAGTAATATCATGTATACACTACACACAGATGAACACCTACACTAGTAGTATCATGTATAAACTACACACAGATGAACACCTACACTAGTAGTATCATGTGTGCACTACACACAGATGAACACCTACACTAGCAGTATCATGTATAGACTACACACAGATGAACACCTACACTAGTAGTATCATGTATAAACTACACACAGATGAACACCTACACTAGTAGTATCATGTGTACACTACACACAGATGAACACCTACACTAGTAGTATCATGTATAGACTACACACAGATGAACACCTACACCAGTAATAGCATGTATACACTACACAAAGATGAACACCTACACTAGTAGTATCATGTGTACACTACACACAGATGAACACCTACACTAGTAGTATCATGTATAGACTACACACAGATGAACACCTACACTAGTAGTATCATGTATGCACTACACACAGATGAACACCTACACTAGTAGTATCATGTATAAACTACACACAGATGAACACCTACACTAGTAGTATCATGTATACACTACACACAGATGAACACCTACACTAGCAGTATCACGTATACACTACATGATACAGATGAACACCTACACTAGCAGTATCATGTATACACTATACAGATGAACATCTACACTAGTAGTATCATGTATACACTACACACAGATGAACACCTACACTAGTAGTATCATGTATACACTGCACACAGATGAAAACCTACACTAGTAGTATCATGTGTACACTACACACAGATGAACACCTACACTAGTAGTATCATATATACACTGCACACAGATGAACACCTACACTAGTAGTATCATATATACACTGCACACAGATGAACACCTACACTAGCAGTATCACGTATACACTACATGATACAGATGAACATCTACACTAGTAGTATCATGTATACACTACACACAGATGAACACCTACACTAGTAGTATCATATATACACTGCACACAGATGAACACCTACACTAGCAGTATCACGTATACACTACATGATACAGATGAACACCTACACTAGTAGTATCATGTATACACTACACACAGATGAACACCTACACTAGTAGTATCATATATACACTGCACACAGATGAACACCTACACTAGCAGTATCACGTATACACTACATGATACAGATGAACATCTACACTAGTAGTATCATGTATACACTACACACAGATGAACACCTACACTAGTAGTATCATATATACACTGCACACAGATGAACACCTACACTAGCAGTATCACGTATACACTACATGATACAGATGAACACCTACACTAGCAGTATCATGTATACACTATACAGATGAACATCTACACTAGTAGTATCATGTATACACTACACACAGATGAACACCTACACTAGTAGTATCATATATACACTGCACACAGATGAACACCTACACTAGTAGTATCATGTGTACACTACACACAGATGAACACCTACACTAGTAGTATCATGTATAGACTACACACAGATGAACACCTACACTAGTAGTATCATGTATGCACTACACACAGATGAACACCTACACTAGCAGTATCATGTATATACTACACACAGATGAACACCTACACTAGTAGTATCATGTATAAACTACACACAGATGAACACCTACACTAGTAGTATCATGTATACACTACACACAGATGAACACCTACACTAGTAGTATCATGTATGCACTACACACAGATGAACACCTACACGAGTAGTATCACGTTTACACTACACACAGATGAACACCTACACTAGTAGTATCATGTATGCACTATACATTGATAGCTTGATCTCTTAAATGTTGCAGTGGAAGAAACACATCTCTATATGTTCCAACCAACGTCAGATGGTCTCTCATAAATGTAGCATGCGTGTACCACATGTGCACAACAAAGCAATCTAGATTATATTCTATCAATGCTCGCTGTTCGCTTGTTTATTTATCGCCCGGAATACGTGGTCCCCTCGCTTCTTATAATTCAATAAAACTATATTTACTGTCCCTAGATATTTATACAAAAACTTTTTTTATTTTAACCCATTCCGCGTTTATGTATCCCTGGTTCCATGTTTGTGGGGACCGCCTCCTTGGTCTAGTGGTAGAGCGTCTGCCCAGAGAGCGAAAGGTCCGGGGTTCGATCTCCAGCCACGTTGAAAGATGGTACTTGTTGTTACCCTGTCTGGCGTTCGGTATTTAAGATACTAAAACAAGGACTGGTCGGTTCGGAGTCAGTATACTGTGTCTTGAGGGGGTGTTCATGTTAAACTGTGGCATGGTATCTCAGTGGGCTAGCACTATAAATAGGCATTAGTCCGGACTAGTACAAGCAGACACACACACGTGCATATACGTCGCTATATAACTGCAAGAAATCTTGGTCGCGACGTTAAACCAGAATTCACCTCACCCACCACATGTTAGTGGTCAAGGCGTGGGAAGCGCCTTAAAATACCTCCCCAAACCTTCTTCCACACCATCTGCGCGCAATATGTCCGAGAGTCGATATTTATGTATAAAATCAGTTGATATTTACACTTGCGCGCGAAACAAATATGCATGGTTATACATGATAATATATACACATTAACATATCGTTTTTCTTGAAATAAATGTTTAATATGAGAGTTACTTGTTACATGGTGCTTTAGGTAAGTTCCTCTCGGTGTCCAGTGTATTGAGTCCGCGATAGTACCCACGTTGTACAATTTGCCAAATATTTTCCAAAATAAACATTACTGTAACATGTTTATTATAACACCATGGCTACATGCGTTATATTGAAGACAAGCACATAATATAAACATGAAGTATAAAATGAAACCCGTCGGAAGTTATGTGAACAAATAGCGAACAGGCTCGCGCTTATCTCAACGACTGGCCGCCAATTTGATATTTTCACGAATACATAGCCACGAGTGAAATCACATAAGAAGATCAAGAGATGTTATTAACATCAAGAGATGAGCTAACTCTATATATGTATTATGGATTTTATATACAAAATAGTAGCAGCGAGTTTGGCCGAACTTAGGACAAATATGAAGTGCTATTTTATTAAGTAAAAATCTATCGACTTTATTTTCAGACTTTTTTTTGTATCTGCTCGTGATTGAACAATACAAAGTTCCTTTACGTTCCATATAGGTTCACGTAGAGTAAAGTATCGCAAACAAAATAAAGTATGGATGTTTTATTTTTTATACTGTATCTTATAAATTGTTAAAGAAGCGAACAAAAGTTTTTTCATTTAATATCACTCGGGCATTTTCTAGTACAGATGATCATTGTCATTTTGTCATATTGTCATATATATTTTTTTATGCAGACAGTATGCACACACCATCCAACAAATGCCCTATACGTTTTCATTTAATGTAAAATAAACATAAAAACATAATACATGGATTGTTATAATGTATGGAAGGCGAATGTTTACACTGTTTGTGTTTGTTTATCTGGTGTTTACCCGTCTTTCATGTATGCATTACCAAACTGGGAACGCTGGGACGGTCTTAATGAATCTCCAAATCAGAAAAATACTTTCCCATTATGTGTGTCTTTGAATGCAGTGGGGCTGATAGAATCACAACTTAATGAGAACATAGTTAGAGAGCATAGTTAGAGCTATCAAGAAACAGGGGAAATTATGATCGAACTCTGTGATACAAACCCGAACTAATCCAAGGCATGGTTCCAGATATTAGGTGGCTTTCAAATGAAGAACACCAACCAATGCTGATTTAATTGAATCTGGGTGTGGCCATATAGAGTTTTAATCAATCATTCTGCTTTGCAAAATCCAATTATAAAGGTTGCATGATCAAATCTTGCAATTAGTTTATTAATTCCATGCAATACACGGCTGTATGGCAGATGCGTGTAGAATTCTTCTCGTAACAATCTCAATCCAAGTTTCCTTAGCGTTGCACAGTTAGCAATAAAATTGGGGGAAATACGTCTGTATGATTAGGCACCAGTATCCAATCAAACAGACCTCATAAAGGCTGCACACGAATCGTCAGATCGGGACCTAACGTAATGCAATATCACGGTCACCGTCTGCACGTGATATAGCGCGCGAACACGGCGTGCGTCTTACCCCGAATGTATCAATCCCCCCTATTAGAGGGAGCAGCCAATATTACTCTATACTTACCCCTAATGAAATAAAGGGGACCAGATAATGGGGTCCAACGTTGATTGAAAACACTTGTTAAAAACAACTCCGACTTAATTGATTGGCTAGAAGACAGTTATTTGAATTACACACTCGTGGTTCGTTCTTATTGCATTATTGCATGGATTTTCTACTGATTAAGGGCGCTCTCTCCGGGCAACTAGTGGTCGGCCGAGGGCAGGCCCAATATATCGTTGATTATACCACTTCAAATGTAATGGAAGGTTTGCAATTTTGGGCAGCAATGTTTAATGCCGTCTATTTCATGTCCGGGCAATATTAAAGCCCAGTAATTGCGATCGATCTAGCTTTCAAGCCGAGGAGAGGGTAATTAGCTTGGTTTGTTTATTCTTCATTTCGAGCGAGCTCGCTTACTCCGGCCAGCCATGTGCTTTCATTTCCCTCCGTTAATGAGCTCGGGCAACCCGACACCCCTACGTCTGAAAATGGACCGACCGGCGAGTCATTATCGGTGTATACTGAACGGTGATTCGTCGACTGGATATCATTAGAGGGCCCATTCATAGCTCAGTCGTTGTGCTTCGCGCTAATGAGGTAACCCCAATGCGATATGACAAGCCAAATTACTGGAGTTGGGATGCTTCGGCCGACACGGCTTGAATTAAAGATCGGCCATCAGTGCGGGCGAGACTAGGGGCGAGGAAGGACTGTCGTGTTGTGATGTTACTGAATGATACAGTGGTTTGAAAGTGTAGGAACTGCTTGCGGTGAAAACTGTCTACTCGTACCACAGGATAACGCAGGGTCGGAGTACGCTACCCAGGAACGCTACGATTCTCATACTAACTGGACCTGTCAGTTAATCTCGGGTTAACATTGGTGGCAGACGTGTGGACCATGGACCCGTCTGTGTCCGCATTTAACTCCATGACAAACGGTAAGTGCACTAGTCTGTGATCAACACACGCATACACAACACGTCACTTACCATGTCGTGCACATGAGCCCTGCGCGTCTCACACCACGCGCTCAACACAAAGACTGGCATTTCTATCCGACGGGGCAATGGCAACGATTTATAACCGCAAGTGAATGTTTTGACAGTTGAATAGAGATTTGGGATACGACAAAGAAGGGTAGTGTCGTTGGTGTTATATTGAGATCGGGGTTTCTGTATTCATTGTGACTATTTGCCACGTGCTGGTGGCGTTCTCTCATCATTTGCCCCAGTAAGACTGAAATCGTTGACAGTAGTGATGTGAGGTAAGGCCTCGCCGTGTAAGTCAGCCGTTCTCAAAGTGTGTACAATAGCTAATAGATTGGCCTGAGGCCCTGTCCGGCGACCGCCCTCGCCCATGTGGGTTCGCTTGTTTTGGTTGTGGCGGTCTCTCGATCGACAAGAGAGTGCTGAATTCAGGCGTCTGGTATTATCGTCGTTCTGTTTTGAATCATGGGTTGCCTGATTACATGAAACACGTGTCAATTCCTGTTAGTTCTGCCGCATAGATGTACACAAAACCTTCTTCGGCTGACCTCGTAGCTGGCACAACAGCCATAGTTAAAAGGCCGCGCAGACAGCTGATCACAAAAGCTGATTTCGAATCTGTTATTTTCACGAATCTGAAATAAACAAAGTGATGGTTTAGTTCATTCCGAATGTTCCCGTAAGATCGATCCGTGTTTTAGCCGACTTACACCACCGATGACACATCATGCTAAAGAGTGATCGCCGCCTTTGATCTTTCGAGGGGGAAATGTTTCCTTTTTTTACTGGGGAGGGATTCGCGAAACCAGTTGTAGCGTCACGCCTCACAAACATCCACACACGCCGGGAGTATTGGGAATAAACCTGACTCACTGGGAACGTGGATCGGACTGTTTCCAGCCCTAGTAATGGTGATTAGTCATAGAAAGGAGTCGTGGTAAATGCACCTCTTTCTGCAGGACCCCGACAATGGTGCCCCACTTCCGATTATATCGCTGGTCTTTTCTCTGTAGGGTCACTCGAGGTCCGTGTTGGACTGCCGTTGGAGAGTTCGCTAATAAGACGCGGCCGTTGTGGTTGTTGAAGATGATGTTTTGCTCTATTACTTTCAATGGGCTTCATTGCCTCGACAGACCCTTTAGACGCCAAGTCAATCTACTGTCTGGATGCAGCCCAAATCTCACTAAGGAATACGATCAGTCTTGTTATGTAAGCACCGTGCCTCCAGGTTGTAGAACCAACTATTGCGCGTTTACAATGCGACGATGTTATTTCGATATCATTATATAACATTCTATTTATAGCATGTGTAACACCCGTAATAAACACGCCTCGTAATGGTTATGCTTTTGTCCAGTAATGTTCCCCCCTAACATGTTTGTAAGTCGCTGTGATACACACGTAATTAACGCGGTTTGTAAAGATGTGCATGGTGACATTGTTCTGTGGTAAACAAGGTCCTATGATGAGGATGACACAGACATTAGAACACGTCGTATTGAGGACCTTGAGACTACCCCCACGTGTAGGTAGCGTACGAAGGTCATCGAACGTTGCAAAGGGCAATAAACCACTCATGTTTACTGCAGTGAATAGGGGAATAATACACTCAGATTTAGGATATCTGAAGCAGATGATTTAATAGAAGTGTGGCCCAAATCATTCACCAAGATTTGTTTGTCACACATTATTTCTGATATTCTCGTCTGTTCTTGCCTTGTATTATTGGTGTTGATATCACGGCCCTGGTGTTGGCGACTACAGTGTTCTAATGGTGCTCAGGTTTTGTGGTGTGACGGTGGCACCTCTGGTGATCGCCAGTGGAAGCGATGTCCGCATCTCGACAATGATAGTCATCACCCCTGCCATGTTGTGTTGCATGACCAGAGCGTCATGAAGTCAGAGAGACAGTACCGCATATGCGTGTCCACAGACAGCACCTCATACATGGGTCCACAGAGTGGCAGCTGCATATGCAACTGCCCACAGAGTGGCAGCACCACGCCTGAATCAATTGCACACTTGTTACTGGATGTCCAGACCATGCCCCAGCTCTGTTAAAACAAGAATTGCAGTTAGACCCTCTATCTGTCGTACATCTCCTAAAGCCAAGAGATGTAATAGCGAAGGCCAAACTAACTCTATTTCTGAGAGATGAACAGCTCCTCGAACGTATATAGACGCAGCAGCCAAATATAAAAAATGAAATCATATCAAAATACGAAAATAGAAATCTTATCAATACAAATATGTGTACCCTAGTCACACACGAGTCCCCTCATATGGGTACACTGTGTGAAGCCCATTTCCGCCGTTATATTGCTTGAATATTGCTAAGAGCGGCGTAAAACCATACTCACTCACTCACTGACATGAGTCCCAAAGAGGGACAGGTCAGTCGAAATTGCTATTGCAGAAGGCGACCTCTTTAACACTTAAAGCAACAGCGACAACAACAACAACAGTGACACCACCACAACATGAGCACCCACGGAATCTGCCCCAGCATCAAGTTTTATCCAATTCGTTTCTTACATTTCAAGTTACACAAACACCTTTGAGCGCAAACCTAAATACATGTTTCAAAACAACTGCCTGCTGCAGTGGTGTTATTCCCATGCTCCGGGTCGGTGTACCTTCTCCAATACCTATCCATTATTAATACTGAAACCACTACCGTTAAAATGTCACGTTTAATTCAGCCTCACAAGAAGCTGTCGCCGCTAGCTCGTTGAATGTATGTACTTGTACAGCACCGACTCACGCTTTAAGTGTTACAGATATCTAGTTGTCAGGAAAGTGGTGTTAATCATCGCAAAGAACATTTGTTTCTCTTGGAACACCAGTGTTTTCTAGCACGATTGAGGAATCTTCGGTGTGCCGCGTCTAATTGTTGCGCAAACAGTCACCACTTCTTTTTATGAAACATACGTGTTGTAATTGCTATCCATTTAATGTCCTACATTAGTGTGAACGCTGTAATATGCAATAAACGCGTTTCCATTATACAAATATTTGTTACAGCGAAACAGCGTGGGGGGAGTGGTAGGGGGCGATTGGAAATAGAAACTGTTCGCATTTCCATGCTCTTGACATAATAACAATCAGTCGGAATTGTTTATGGGACATGGATTAATGGTGTTCTGTTTCCAAAAGAATTTGTATCACAGAACAATCAGAACGCTTTTGTTGAAAAGGATACCAATTACATGGTACTGTGGCAATGAATGCATGCATGATGACAAAAACACAGGGCTGGTGCAGACAAGGCTTTTTCATTATGAAGCTCACTCGAGCGGGATAAAGAGCTATAATTTACGAAGTATGATCAGTCGAAAGTACAGAAATGTTTCGCTTATTGATGAGTGAGCGCGTTGGGTTTAACGCCGCTTTGAACAGTTGCTCAGACACAGGGATAGAAACGGCCACTGGTCCGTTAGTCGGAGACAAGTGAAAGTCTAGATGGACTAGTTTCATCCCCAAATCTGATATGTATTTTTATGTGAATCACAAGTCCGAAATGAGCTGCGGAAATGACCAATGGTGTCGGACTCGTGAAGATCCGGGTTAAAATTGGCCTTCAGCAACCCATGCTTGTCTAGTTGCGTAGATCAATGCTCATGATGTCAATCGCAGGATTGTGTGATCCACCCTGGACGTTTTCCCGACCTCCGTGACAAAGCTGGAATATTGTGCAGAGTTAAACAACAAACAAACAAATGATGTTTATCCCTGTCAAAGTCAAAGAATTCCCAATGTGATGCGGGTCGTACACGTTTATCTCTTTTTTGGCACCGACAAGCATTAGAATGGTGCGGACAAACCATTATCACAGTCTGGGATTCGAACTTACGGTCGACGGTTTTGAGAGCTGCTTGCATATATATATATATATATATATATATATATATATATATATACACAGGGTAATGGCGAAAACTGGTGAGCAGACAAGCGCTGTCCGCTCCTATTTGTGTAAAAGCAATTTAAGATTATAAGCCTTTTACCGTTAAGCCTGACCTGGTGTGGTATTTAAGCACCGACGATGACTCGAACGTGGCGCACACTAGTGGAAATCGCTTCACTGAGAGCGGGGACTGCACTGTGGCAGCTCTCTAACCATTCTTGACAGTCTGCGAGTCTGTCGCGCATATTCCAATAGGTGCTCAGGTACCGTGTTAGTGACATGTTTTTTGGTTAACAGGCTCCGCAGCCAAACAATTCCCCTTTCCTCTCGGGCGCGTGGTGCTTTATGTGCAAGAATGGCGTGCTGCAATGAGTTTATTAATTACGCTGCAAGTGTAATAACGCGCCAAGGTACTTGTTGGTGTGTGTCCATCGTTGCCGACTATTTTGTCCCCAGTTCAACTGTTTAGTCTTGCACTGCACGTGCTCACGGGGACGTTAGGGAGGAAACAGATCTGAGGTGAACATTGGTGGGAAACAGGAACAGATCTAACCAGAGTAACGTGGACATGAATGGGAAACAGGAAGAGGTCTGGCGTTGGCATCAATGGAAAACGGGCAAAGATCCTGACGTTATTTGAGATTTTCTGTTGTGTTCCAGGAGGTGGAATGATGCTCAAAAACTCTCGGAACATCAAATGATGTTTCAATGTCAGCGATATGTGATTCATACATAGATACCTGTCCTTCCGAGTACCAAAACAGTCTGTGTGACAGTTTATGAGACGATTCTCAAATATTAAATGGCTGCCAGGTCATAACTTGCATGTAGATTAATCTAGAAGTAACCTTATGAGTTTAATTACTGAAACATTGTCTCCACGGGGTACAAATTACAACGTCTAGACCTGTAGTGGTCATTGTCCCCGGACAGACATAGCCTTCCCCCCTCTCCCCTCTCCCCTCTCCCCAACCCCCTCATTAAGTGTACGGTTGAACACGTGACACCGGTAACAACAGGTCCAATCAGACGACCAATTACAAAC